ACAGGAAAGATATGACAAGTATCAATTCCCAGACTATGTCCTTCTTTAAGACAATGCTACATTAAGAGAGCAAATGAATTGTTTGCCTCTAAAGGCGGCAGTGGAGGAGTCGAGGGCTGTTTTTCCTCCTCTTTAGTGACATAGACACGTTTTTGTTCTTTGTTGGGGTCCTGAATAGATCTCAAAGCAAAATGACATAAGTTCCAAACCATTAAATGAGATACTTTATTTTATTTTATTTTTTTTGTCTTTTTTCGTGTCCGGCAACGGATTGCAACCCTCAGTGTCGCGCCCATACCGGACCGGGACCGGCAATGGGATTGCAACCCTCCGTGTCACACCCGCACCTCGCTCAGCCAGTGAGCGGGAACCGGTCTGTATGTGGGATCTGAACCCTCGGCGGGAGCGCCACCGCACTCCCAAGCGGCGCACTGTAGCAGTGCGCCACCGGGCCGGCCCCTAAATGAGATGCTTTAACAGGACCTGTTTTTAAACAGCGACCAATGTGTTCCCAATCCTCAATATTAAGACTTCCTTCCTTGGGATACCAAGGACATAGTTGTCTAATCACTACTAAGTTTTACAAGCTCCCCTTTAGTTATTTTAAAGCCAGCTGCTTTGAGACATTGGAGTTGTAATTTATGTAGAGTCTCCTCCTTAGATAAGGAAGTTCTCATATTTTAAAAGTGAAAGAAACAAAACTTTTGGGCTGCATAGACCTGACTTGACCTGCTGCAGGCGTGAACTGCTAATGGAGAGCCACCTGTGATTCCCTGACCGGAATGTTTCCCTTTGCCAGGACTTCCCTTGCTGGGATGCATAGATATAAGTGTCAGATGTCCTTTTCCTTTCAAAGGCTTGGCAGGTCACTCTCTGACCCGTGGAATAATAAATTCCTCACACGGGGCACCATTTGTCACCTCTCCCCCAGGGTGACGGAGACGGAGACGCAGAGGATTACTCAAAGCCCATTTCTTCTGAGCAGTGAGAGGCCCAAAAGGGTTAGTTTCCAAGGTTTCTTTTCCCTTCAAGGATTTGCCAGGAATTAACCCTTTTGGGCCTCTCACTGCTCATAAGAAATGGGCTTTGAGTAATCCTTTGCGTCTCTGTCACCCTGGGGGAGAGAGGTGACACTTGGATACTCAGGATGAATCTCCAGATGTCCTATCTCCAGATGTCCTAGATTTCTCACTTCCTCGGCCCAACCCAGACTTCCATCTCATTCTGCCTCTCAATCTCCAGAAATATTTCCCCAATCCAACCTCTTTCATTACCCCCACCACCCCCAGCCCCCGTCGGGTGCCTGCACATCTCAGGGCTACCATCAGCCTCCACCTGGAGGCCTCCCTTCAGTGCTCCAGGGCTCCCAACAGGGTAGTCCATGGCGTCCCTGTTCCTCACCCTCCTGACGTGGCTAGTTGGCCTACGTCGTCTCCTCCACACCCTCTGGCTCACATCTCTTGGCTACAATCTCGCCCCACCCCCACCCCAAACATTGGCTGGCTCCCGGCCTTTGCTCTGCTGCTCCCTGCTGGAACACTCTTCCCCTGAACCTTGCCTGTGGCCCTTTTGCTGAGAGCACAATGATGCTAAGTAGCTAATGCTACTGCTGTTGCTCAGCTTCATGTGTTTTGCATTAACTCTCAGCTGCCCTGTGAGATAGAAACTAGCACACCCCCCATTTTACGCAGGGGAGAGGGAGGCGTGGAGGGGTTAAGCAACGTGGTCACGTCCACAGCGGTAGTGAGGGGGCAGCACTGTTGACCCCACTGTCCACTGCCCATGTTTCCTGGTCCCAGTGGCTGAAGCAGCCTCCCAGTCACCTTCCGTCCCCTCCCTTGTCATTTGCTTTATGACCCCTCTGGGGTGTCCTGTGCATGTGTGTATGTGGGTACCACAGTGAGTCTGTCCACAGTAAGCAAGTAGGTCCACGGGATGGTGTTATTCCCGGAGCCCAGAGTAGGGCTCAGACACTACAGGTCACAAGAGATATCGGTTGAATGAATGAGGTAATTTCATTGTTGAAGAGCTTAGAAAATGTCAAAGGGTTTAGAAGAAAATAAAACATTTTTAAATGCAGTCTTAGACTAGATGAAAAATTTTCTAAAAACCTACGATCTTACATTTTCTAACCTTATTCTTTTCATGTCAATTAAAAATTACAAACACTCCCCCACCCCTACCTGTCAGTCCCTGAGATGTCCCCCTGGCCCCAGCCAAGCACTCCATGTCCCCGCAGGACCAACAAGAGGGCCAGGCCTCTGCTGGGACTCGAGCCCCAGGAAGGTGGGTCTCTCATGCCTCCTCCCTGCAGCTCCCCTGGAGAATCCGGGACTGGCTGGAGGAATTTAATACAGAAAAGCGTCAGTCCACTGCTCACAACTTCACTGGCGCGCTAATTTTATGCTGTCACAGCTGGCTTGGGAAAGAGTCACCGCTAGCCCAGTCCTCCGACCTGAGCCCACCAGCCAGCGAGGGAACCAGGGCTCCCTGAGTACGCTGCTCCCACCCAGAGGAGTCGGCGGGAGGCTAGCGGGGCGCGCTGTCCGGCCCTGACCTGTCCTGAGGACGAGGCCCGAGTCCGGACCCTGCCTGCCTCGGCCTGTCCTCAGAGTCCGGGCAGATGCGCCCCCGGAACCCGAGCTGCCCGGCCGGGCTCCGCAGCGTCACCGCGAGGGCCACCGGCCTCTGGGAGTGGGGGTCAGATAAGCAGACCTAGGACTAGCCCCCCACCCTTCCCGACCCTTCCCGACCCTTCCCGACCCTTCCCGACCCTTCTTCGGAACAGCAAGATCCGCCCTGCGCACGCGCGCTCAAAA